AATCATAGATTCTCAGAGCCAAAAGCATCTAAGAAACATCTCCTTCCAGGGGTTTCAAATGCTTTGTTTCTAGCGGGGGAATCTTTTTATTCTTTTTGTATTTTAAACAAGAAACCCTACAAACCCCATCATCTAGAAGGAGAGGACAGCAGAGGTACCATGGGTGAAACCTTGGTGAGGTAACTCCCACTGCTCTTGAGACTCTTCAGAATCTGAAAACCATTAATCATGTCTAAAGGGTTTCTTTAAAGATGGGGAAATGAAGCCCCCCCCATCGGGAAACATGACATGCCCCAGGCCACACGACCGATTAGAGGCTGAGACAAGAACGCAATGTATGCCTCCTGTTACATGGGCTTCATGAATTGAGTTGGAGAGAGGCACCATGAATGGTCCCTTCCTGAACTGGACCAAGGTGAGAGCCTGGTGGGCAGTGCAGTGGGGGGTGGGGAGGGAGGTCTGGGATGCTCATGGGAGATGGGACTCACCCAGCATAGAGGAGTTGGGAGCTCCAGGGATAAGCAGGGAAAACTGAAAGTCTCCATATCTGGAGGAGATCCAGAAAGTTCCATAGCAAGCGTACAGTGTGACTGTTAAGAGCAGAGCAAGACAAGAGAAAAAGGCACTTTGGAAATCAGTATCAAAGGCAAATTCTTTATTCTTCCTCCCACTAGAATGCCGCACTCTGGGTCTCTGGTGGCAGCGAGGCCGCAAGGAAAGGCGAAATAAGCTTCTCTAGGGTGGGCAGCAATTCTTTCTTTCATTATGCCTTTCCAAGATGGATGGGGTTTTGGCACAGTTCTCCTTTGAGGATTTGAGAGTTATATTTACACTCTCTGTTCTGAAACACTGAGGAATACATATGAGAGTTAGCGGAGGGTGAACATATCTGTTTAATTAATGGTTAAGCTGATTACACAATATAATTTGAATACAAAGTCAAAATGGCCTTCCTCCCCTTCCCCAGGGAGGATCCCCTGTCTGGCCAGGCCGCTGTGAGTGCTCTCCAGGGGAGACAGGAGAGGCATGTGGGCCTGAAGGCAGACAGCGTGTTAGAGGCCCACCCTCCCCCCCTTCCCCCTCTGCTCTTCCCTCCTCTCCCCCCTCCTCTCCCCGCTCCCTCTCTCCTCTCACCAACTGCACATCCTTTGTTTTCCCATCCATGGAGACAGAGGACTAAAGGAGGTGCTGAAAGGTAGAAGTGCACTCTATGTGCGGACAGAAACATGGGGTGAAAAGTCGGGATCCCCCTATACCCCTTACTTTTCAAGTTCATGATATTTATTTATTTTATTTTTTTAAAGATTTATTTATTTATACAAGCACTGGGTACAGTCAGAAGCGCGGGAGGGTGAGAGAATTCACGAGAGCCAGAGTGGGGAGCAGAGCAGGCAGAAGGACCAAAGTACACTGCTGAGGGGAGCAGCGGGCGGCAGGTACAACTTCACATGCGCGCCATGTGGGACCCTCCTCCGGTGGCCGGGGAGCAGCCGGGGATCGAACCGGCGCTGCAGAGGCTGCGGGCAGCTTCGCAACCCAGCGCTCAACCGCTGCGCCACCGGGGAGGCCTGAGTTCATGATATTTAATTGGGAAAGAGACATAAGAACAAGAAAGGGTCTGTCGACACCCATAGAATGCATCCGGTGATCGGCTTGCACCCCGTGGTGCCCTGAGCGCACAGCGGAGTTTAATTTTCTATAAAAGAGCAGAAAGCCTTGGTGGGTGCCATCGAGTCAATGTGTTTACACGTCCATGCTCATTGGGATGTGCCTCCTGGCCTCACTATGCATTTCTGAAATCTGTGTTTACCTCCAACAGCCGCCTCAGCGTGGCCAGACCAAATTTGATTCATTTCTGAAAAATGTCATTTACAAAACTGTAATGTGGGGGGTACAACTTCACCCCTCCGTATGTGTACAGGCTTCACTCACCCTCCACCAGAGCTCCAGTGCCCTGTCCTATCCTCTTTCTTTCCTGGTTGCCTCCTTCCTCCTCACTGTTAGCCAGTATATATTTCAGAGTCTAAGAATGAGCATTGTTGTGCTTTGCCATCCATAACTGGCTTTCACTTTCTGACTGACTTAGCATAACCGCCGCAAGATCCATCCATTTTGTCCCAAAGGGTGATGCTTCACCTTTTTAATAGCTCAGTAGTATTCCTTGAGTGTATATTTATATATTCCACAATTTATCCAGTCATCTGTTGAAAGGCACTTCGGTTGCTTCCATGACTTGGCTTTTATGAATCATCCTGCTCTGAAATCTTTTCATATCAGTGTTTTTTCACATTCTTTGTGTAAATACCTAGCAGTGGTATTACTGGATCATATGGTATTTCCATTTTTAGTTTGTTAAACAAATCTCCACACTGTTTCCATAGGGACTGCGACAGAGTATATTCCCTCCAACAGTTGGGGGAGCCTCTCCTTTTCTCCACCCCCTCGATCCCCCAGCACTTGTGGTTTCCAAATTTGATATGGGCCATTCGCTCAGGGATGAGGTGGTATCTCATTGTGGTTTTGATTGGCATTTCCCTGATGATATTTATGATGAGCATTTTCATTGCGCCTGTGAGCATCTGAATGTCTTCTTTAGAGAAGTGTCTCTTTAGCTCTATACCCATGTATTGATTAAGTTGTTGTTTTTGAATTGTATGAGATCTTTCTATTTTTTGGGAAATTAACCCCATGTCAGATGTGTGATATGCAAATAACTTTTGCTAGTGCATAGATTGCCTATTTGTTTTTGTGGTAGGTTTTTTTTTTTTTTTTTTTTTTGAGGTCCATTGGTGTTTGAGACCTGTGGGTACTTTCTTTTCTTTCTTTTTTTGACTTAAAATAGTTTCATTTTGTTTTTTAATTTTTTTATTAGTTTTTATTGAGAGAACATTGGTTTACATCATCATGTATTAGAAGTATAGGATCTCCCCTGTCAGGTATGGGTGGTTTGTGACTCTTTTGGGTCAGCTTTAGCTCAAGGGGTGACCTCCCCAAATTTGGACCAGTACTTCTGGGGGCATCCTGGAAATACCTTATGAATGGGGTTTGTACACGCACGCTGTTGGTGCTCTCCTAGTGGCCATGTGGAGGAAAATCAGCATGGGAAAGCCCTCCTCATTTTCTCAGCGCCATCTCCTACTTCTTCCCCAGTTCTTTCCTGCATCAGACCTTCTGTACCTTCCAGCTTTTTCATGCCTGCCTTGGTTCAGGGCCCCAAGAAGGAAGCAAGAGGAAAGGAAAAAAGGCCCGTTGGGGTGGTGTTTAGAAGGTAAAAACAGGCAGACCTGTCCCTCCCACACTCAGATCTCTGGATATTTGGCCTCGCTCAGATCTCCTTCCTTTCTCTTTTGGGCAGTGAGACTGTTTCCCATCACAGGACTTGGAATTTCATTGACATACACCCTGGGCCCAGAAACAGCCCCGTACCTTTGAGAATCAATAGCAATCAGTCATTAGGCAATTATCTAAACCAGCTGTTATTGAGCATAAACTATGTAACAGGAACAGTGCCAGGAGGTGGGAATATAGTGACCAATGAGACCCAGATGGTCCAGATTTTCCAGGCGGCCCAAGCTCAGTAGGAGCGGACCCTGGTTTACCCCCAGGAGTTAAAGGCTCAAGAAATGGATACCTGGACAGGCTTGAGGTGTTTGTCAAACTCTTCTACCTGGTCTTCACTTTTTCTTTTGGGAAAGCGAGGTGCGCCTAGGATAGACTGGGCTGCAGGAAGCTGAGGGCCTGTGTCACTGTCCTGTAATTACCACCCCAGCCCTTCAACTTTCACTTCAGCTTGCCTCTGAGGGCACAAAGTAGTGCCTACAGGCAAGAGGCATTTCAAGATTGGGGGACTTGGTGGGGAGTGGCAGCTGTTCCCCTTGTGGAAGCTGCAGAAGGGCCCAGGGATTCAGATCTGAGGGGCTCAGGCAAGAAAAGAAGGCTGGAGTATGGGCTTGTGGTTTTGCATCACACTGATTCTTAAAAGATCTGGAGGGGGGGCGTCCAGTAAGAGTGTAGTGGCACCTCCCAAATAGAGCAGGTCTACCCTTGAGGGCTTCCTTTTTGGCATCAGAAATCAAGTGAATCATATGTTTCACACAGGGACATTGCTGGACCCATTTCTTGTCTTGCATTCCTGACCTCCCGAGTCCGTGTTCTCCAATTAAAATATGGAACAGGGAAAGGACAGAAATTGCGAATAGAGTGTGGCGAGCAAAAAAAGATTCCCGAGCTGGAGAGAAGCCGGCCTGCCTGAGCTTGAAGAGAAAGGGAAAAAAAAGAAGTTAGAGGGTTGGAGAGTGGCCAGAACTTAAATAAGGCGACTGGATTGTGCATTTCCCCAATACCGCCTTGTGGTCCACCCAAGTCCACCGCCAGGATCCCAAACCCAAGGGAAGGCTGAGGGGGCGCGGAGGAAAAAACGGGGTTCGGATCGCACAAAGGGGCCTGAAATGAAAAGTCAGCAAAAACCACTGGGTGGCAGCGTGGTGTGCGGGCGCAGCGCTGCAGTGCTGCCACTGCCGTGGGGGGCTGAACCCCGTCTGGGAGCCCCGAATGGCTACAAGTGTCGCCGGGCAGAAGACCTCAGCTGCGGTGTGTGGGGGAGCAAGAGTAGTGAATGGGGGTTTGGGGTAGGGGCCGGCCAACTTGCTAGTGTCTCCAGCCTGCGCCCGGCGCAGAGTCCCACACAAACGAAAAGCACCCCGTCCTCCCCCATCTCCAAGCAAAGCGCAGCACCTCCAACCCCAGCACCTCCTCCCGGCCTCCTCTCTCACGGTTCCCCCCCTACTCCTGTCGGGGGGAGGACCTGGGTGGGGGCCCGCGGGGACCCCTACAGGTGTTAGCCCGCGCGGTCGCCGGGACCAGGGGCGGGGGCGGGTGGGCGGCGGGGCTGCCGCGGGCTGGGCGCCCAGAGGGAGGAGCCGCCGGGAGGGGGCCCTGGGAGAGGCCGTCGCGCTCTTCCGGAGGGTGCCTGCGGCGATCGGATGCCGCGCCGAGACAGCGCCGCGCCCAGAGCCGCCGCCGCCACCGCGAAGATGCCAGGCCATTACCTGTTTGAGCCCCGTCGGAAAGCCGGCCCGGGCCAACTCCGCCCGCTGCTCAGGCCCCGAAGTTGCAAGGACTAGTCGCCGCCTCGGAGGGGCCGGGGCCAGGGCGCACCCCCCCGCGCGCCGCCTCCGCCCTCCTCCCGGCCGCCCGCCCGCCCGCGCTCCCTCCCTCCGCCCGCCTCCTCCTCCGCCCCCTCCGCGCGCCACCGGGCGGGGGTGCCGCGAAACTCCGACCCGAGCCGCGGGGACTGCACAGTGTCCTCGGGGCGCCGGGCCGAGCGCACGCAGCCGCGCCGCTCCGCCGCCGCCCGCGCCCGCGCCCGCGATCCCCGCCCGGGGCTGTGGCGTCGGCTCGGCCCCCCCGGCCGCCGGCCCCAGCGCGCGCGTCGGACCCCGCCGGAGGAGTCCGGACGGCATGCTGAGCCCCCTCCTGGGCTGAAGCCCGAGCGCGGAGCCGCCCGGCCCAGCGCCGCCCGGGGCACCCAGGCGGCCGAGGCGCGAGACCCAGCGGGCGAGCCGCGGAGCTGCGGGCGGAGGCGGCGAACCCAGAGCCGGGGTCGCCGAAGAAGTGGTGGTGGTGGGCGTCGTGGCCATGGCGGCGGCTATCGCCAGCTCGCTGATCCGTCAGAAGAGACAAGCCCGCGAGCGCGAGAAATCCAACGCCTGCAAGTGTGTCAGCAGCCCCAGCAAGGGGAAGACCAGCTGCGACAAAAACAAGTTGAACGTCTTTTCCCGGGTCAAACTCTTCGGCTCCAAGAAGAGGCGCAGAAGGAGACCAGGTCGGAAGGGGCTCGGCTGGGGCTTTCCTGCTGCTCTCCGGGGGGTTTTCGTACTTTGTGAGCGGGCAGGGGCTGGGAGGGCGTGTGTGGCGGCGCAGGGGAGTTTGCCGGGGGCCCATCTGGCGCGGATGTGGCCACCGAGCCGGCGTGCGTGCGTGGGAAGCCACTGCTTCCTCGCCTCCCTCTCGCCGGCCCCGGCTTGCTGCATTGCCTCGGCCGGGACGCGCGCGGAGCCCGGGGGCATCCCCTGGCCGGAGCCGCAGACGTGCCCCACGGGTGTGCACCCGTGCGCCCCGGCCAGGCGTGACCCACACCTGGCTGTGGGGTGTGTGTGTGTGCGTGTAAATCACACGCACCGAGCTGGGCAGACGCCTCTGCCCTCTCCCCCAGGAGAACCCGGGGAATCCCTCCCTGCCCTTCGCCTTCTTCCTGCGATACTGAACCCTTCTCCTCCAGCTTGCACCCCCCGCTTCCCCCAAACACACACAAGAGACATGGACTTCTGCTCCCGGGGCATCCCATGTCTTTGATCACTTTTAAGTTTATGGGGACAGACTTGACTTGTGGGGCGCCTTTGAACTATTTGCTGGAGAGGGGGAACTGGAGTCGTAGAACCTGGTGGCAAAGAGCTTAGAGGTCTTTCCACTTGTCAGTCTGTGGTTCCTTAATACTAAAATGCAGAACTGAGGAGAGAGTTGAAACTCAAAGCCGGGTTGTGGATCCTCTTGAACGCACTCAGTGGTGAGACAACCGCTATGGTCTGAGGCCACGCCACGGGAAAATACACTTGGCTCTGGGTGTCGGGTTGCGTCAAAGTAGCCCTTAGGGCCAACAGGCAGCTTTTTTGGGACAGTCTTAACCGAATGAATCCTTTACACAACGTTCTTATCTTTTAGCTCGATAAATAGTACAGATTTTCAGACTCATTCATCAATCTATAATTTCTGTTTATGTGCTCCAGACACCAGGGAATGAAAATGCAGGCAAGGGTTTTCTGTTGGCACGAAGTTTTTAAGGCATTCACTGTAAATGAGGCTTATTTTTAAAAGGGTTAAGTGGTTGCAAAGCATGATTATGTGGCCCGAATAATCACATAAATATTACTTCAGTGCAGGTGTCTGTATTCAATGAAAGCAAATTTTGGATAACACGGCTGTTACTGGTAAATGGAGCACTTTATTAATCTACGGTGGTTCATAATTGAAAATCATTTTAATTAAGAACACATATTGTGGATAATCATATTTCTGATATTAAATTTGAAAATAAGGAAGAAGTAATTTTCTTTTCCTTCCCACCCAAAAACCGCTGCTCCTTTGCACCCATTTTCCCTAAGGGTAATTAATATCTTACTGTAGGGGAAGTTAATTGTTTTATTCTCCCTCTCCTTTCATTTGTGTCACACCTCAGTTTTCCGAATATAATTCCTTTTATGGGGTTCCAGTTATCTATGCATTTTCAACCTTCTTAGAATGCAGGGGGCTCTTACAAAAAGTGTGGTGATTCTGAAGGAAATATTCACTAGTGAGTTTTTGGCCCCCCGTTGCCAAACCACCCAGATTATTTCCCCATTCCTTCTTTTCCTTCCACTTGAAAAGAATATGACATTTGCCAACCCATTCGAATGTTCCACGAGAGTGCCACACTGGAAGGCAAAGGATGTGCTGTCAGAGCCGTAGATGGGTGAGATGCTTTAGGGCTTTACCAGTGTTAGGAGGTGGAGAGCAAATGTTTCTTCTGTTTGGAGATTTATTCTGAAACTTGGAATTCTTTCTTCCCGAAGACTCCTGAAAAGTGCAGGTTGATCTTTTCCATTGTAATTTGCAAATGAAATTGGAGTTGTGAATTCTGAGTTGTGTGGGACAGGTGGGTGCACAGCCCATGTTGATCTGTACCATGCTTCTCTTTACAGAACCTCAGCTTAAGGGTATAGTTACCAAACTGTACAGCCGGCAAGGCTACCACTTGCAGCTGCAGGCCGATGGAACCATCGATGGCACAAAAGACGAGGACAGCACTTACAGTAAGTGACGGCCAAATAAATCGTCGGTCCCCAGCATGTGGTTGCCATTGTATTTTCTTTCTCTTTTTCGCAATAAACAAGTTTTCCTAAATCCTGAAGTGAATACAAAATATAGTCACACTAGGTAATCCTGCTTATGCAGATTAACCTAAAGGACGTTGAACCTGAAAATGTATGGAATAGTGAACTATAGCAAATAATGTTGACACCATCTGAAGAACAACCCAAATGTCATCGCCATGGTAATCTGGAGAGATTTATGGCCATCTTTTGGATTTTATTACTTTTTTCCCACAGAAAATTTACTCACCCACACACTGAGCCTGAAATAGCACCTTATCTCTACTCTTAAGAACCGGTCTCAGCCCAGAGAGTGGAGTGGTTTCATGTCATGAGAACCCTCCTTAGAGACTTTCACTTGCTCCCTCCTCCAACCCCCCCCCCAACTGGTCACTCTGGGACTAATTGGGGTTTTAACTTTGAGATACCTCCACAGGTGAGTAAGGACATTGCTTGTAGTGCTTTATTTTTAACCATGGTTGAAGTAAAGATCAAATTGGAGCCCATCCATGATGGTGAACCTAAAAAGGAAACAAATCAAAATTAAAGTCCATTTAATTCTAATTGTTGAAGTAGGGTGATTCCAAACTGTTGCATAATCTTTTGTTACATGTGCTCTGTTTATTTGGGGTGATAAAACCATAAACTCACTCATATGAAGCCCTCTCTTCAATGGTAAAAATTGTGTTTTCTGGCAATTTGTAGATTGCTGCACACCTATTAAATGTCCCATGAGATTTAAACACCTGGTTCTCTCAGTTCAGTTTCTCTTTTCCTTACTTCAGATAGCATTTCCCAGAAATATTCCATTGTTGACTAAGGATACAGCCATGGAAAGCTGGTCTGAATGCTAACGAGGACTCTGGCTGTTTTAGAGATCTCGGCTAGAAAGAGCAAGGCCCTGGACATGGGTCCTGATGTTAAGTGTTAGAGACCTTCGCACCTTTTACTACTGCTTCCTGGGCTGAAGGCAAGCTGTGACTTCAAGAGGAAGTCACCTTTAATTACCCTTGAAGAAAGTGCTGTCGGTAAACAGGACAGCCAGCAATACTGATAGTTCTTCACTGTTTTGCTTGATGCTCTTACTGTCTTGAACTAAAGCTCTGCAGCGAGTGACCTGGGTGTTGTTCCTGTGTATAATCTTCTACTTGAAAAAATTAGCCAAGAGTAACTGGAGGGATTCCTGTAGTCATATTACAGATGTTCATCCGGGATGATCAGTAATAAAACATTCTTGTAAATTGGATATACAACTTGGTGTTTGGGGAAGGAATTAGGAAATGTCGACAGCTCTCCTCCAAGGTACCCCAGCAAAATGGATCCAGTGGGCCTTTTTTTTTGAAAGATTTATTTATTTATGCATACAAGAGTGGGGTACAAGCCAGAGGCGTGGGGTTGAGAGGATTCACCAGAGACAGAATGAACAGGGGAACAGAACAGGCAGATTCACCAAAGTACACTGCTGAGGGGAGCAGCGGGCGAGTCAGGAGAGGTCTGCTGTGCCATGTGGGTAGCTCCTTGGCCAGTCGGGGATTGAACTCGTACTGCAGAGGCTGCAGACTGCTTCATAGTGTGGTGCTTAACCCCTTGTGCCACCAGGGAGACCCCCAGTGGGCCTTTTGAAAGGAAGTTCATGATTAGCTATTAGTGAGCCTCACTCAGTCAAGTTTTCTCCCATCTATTTTAACATCTTCCCCAGATCAAAATCAGTGGGAAAAAATATTTTTGATGTTTACATGTATAGGTGATTCATTTGCTGTGGCTTTTAATCAGCAGTATGTCCAAATCATCCAGATCACATTCTGTGTGATCGTTTCAGGACACACACACACAGGGACATGCACACACACGTACATAAATCAGGGCTCCATTTCTTATTGTGGAGCTTTAAATCATACGGTAGGTTTTACTTCTCAGTTCCTACATATACACAGCTTCTGCCTTTAGTTATCTTATAACTGGCTAATATTCATCACGTTTCTGTGTACTAATGATATTATAAGACCTTTAAAGAGCCTGATGATCAGTATCTGTGATTAGGCAGAATGAAATAATGACAGGTAAGTCAACTGGTGGTAAGTGTTGCCATCACATGAAATATACAAATGGAAAGTTCTCGAAAGAAATAGCAAGTCGGTGGGGCTTGACTGTACCCCTGATGTCAAATATGACACAAACCTGGGAGCTAGCATCTCTTCCCATTTGAGGATAGTGAAGGATATAAACTATCACAAAACAAAAATGTTTAATGAATACAATATCCATCATTAAAACAGAAGTCTAGCCCCCCTCCTCAATTTCCCCCCCCTCAAGCCAAATAATTTTCTTGGCATTTATTATTCAATTCTTTTAAATGACTTGAACAGAAATACAAGTTTCTTTTAACTGTCATTCTTTCACTGACATAGTATTTCTTTAATATATTTTCCTGGTATTATGTTTACATTTTTTCTTATTTTTATTAATTTTCGGTATTTTCCATCATATGTTTCTCATTTTGTTCAACTTGATTGATCTTACTTTAATTCTGACATGGTAATAAGCAAGATCAGAAAATAAATCAGTTCACATTTGTCGAGGTTTATCTATTTCTAGAAACATATGTTTGATATTATGTATTTAAGCTGACCTTATGTAGATTCATTACAATGGCAAATGTCAGTCCAATAAAATCTCATCATGACTAAATCAGCCATTGCAAATTAATGTATTTCCCCCTGAAAAGATGATAGCCATTTCCTGGGAACAGTCATATCTGCTTTGGTGCTGTGAGGGCTGTTTTAAAAGAAAGGCAACTCTCCCCACAAATCTGCAGTGGTGTTTGCAGTTCAACATGGCAAGTCTTTGCAATCTGCATTAAAGTATACTTTTATTAAATACTCCCTTTGAGAAATTGACCTACAACTGATCAAGAAAGCATGGCTTTGATACTGTAGTCAGCAATCATTAAGTGCCAACTATGTGCACATCTCTGAGAAGATGACCCTTTCATGGTGGAGTTGCATTGTTTTTATATAGAATAGAGAACAAACAAGAAACAAAGGTACTTTTATTTATTAAAGGCTTCTTGAATACTTTGAAATGGAGAAAAGGTTTTAGGTATTGAATGAATGTGTTTCAGATACACAAATGAAATCAAATATTTTCTTACAGTTAAACATCACCCTCATCACAATAATATCTGAAGCCTTTGAAGAAGATCTCTAGGTTAAGAGAAACAAAGATATATAGGAAAATGTCAATTCTCTCCCAGATATCATTTCTTTGCATTTTTTATCTGCATGCACTGTCCCTCTAGACAGATGTGAAAGAATCCCAGGGGATGACCTACCTTGTCTAAGGGAAAGACTGAACTGGTGTGACCAGCCACTCTCCACTTTTGCTGTTCTCTTTGTGCTGAAGTCATGTTTTTTGTTTCGAGTCTGACCTCGTGGACATTTATGGTACCTGGGAAAATTCATGTTTTGCTATAGAGTTAGTACATAGTTAATCCCAGGCATGGATTAGTGATGTTCTTTGCTTCTCTTCTTCCTGCTGCTCTCTGGTGTTTGGAATTTAAGCTTTTTATCGCTTATTGAAACTCACATTAGAGAGTGGCTGGAGCACATGGTGAAAATCAGATCTCTTTCTCTCTCTGGTGCTGTTAACAAGCTCCATTAAGAGGACTGAAGAGTTTCAGAATATTGCAAAAAATGAAAATCAAGAAAACTCTGAATTTCATTTCTCTCTGTCATATATTACCATGACTAAACTAGAATTCAGACATAGGCTGGTGTTCCCTTTGTCTAGTGGAATGTCGTGGTATAACTTTCAAACCAAACCCATTTCTGTTTGATATCTTTGGGATTTTTGGATCTCAGAATTTCTGAATTATGCACTTTTCTATAAGGGAAAGATCACACGAGTGATCTCTTATGTTCCAAAAGGACAATATTAGCATGTTTTCACCACACAGATTCCTATCCATCCACAAATGCGAGTTAGCACCTGCTCTGAGCAAGGTATCAGCAAAAAGAGACATGTCCTATATAGGCATGGCATGCTCAGAGACAGCCCTCTTTCCTGTGCATTGGATTGTCAAATATAGCATGAGATCCTGCCTTGCAATCTGTGCAATTACTTTCCTTTACCTCACATAACAGAAGGGCACAGCTTTTAATATGATGAGTATTGAATGAAGTGCCATCAGTGGCATGTGGTAAGAACACTTGTATTTTGAACTGTACAATATGTCCTAGCTCCTCTTTGGTAACACCCTGGTTTTAAGGGAAAGATACATTGTAGGCTCACTAAGGAATATTTAGTTCTTCATTAATATTTCTCATCCATATTATCCCACTTACTGCAGCAGAATATATATGCACCAAGATAAGAGATCTCAGAAAAAGGTATTCTTACTCATGGGGTGAATCCTTGACAGTCTTGTTCACAGCAAAGATAGGAGACCAATTTATCATCCTCAGTAAACTTACACACCAAGGCAAAAATCATCAGCATTGGTCTATGACTCGAGAGAAAGGTACACAGGCTATTTTCAAAAGATGTGTGTGGCAAGCATTACGTTTTAAAAATGTACTGTTTTATTTTTATTCTTGGTGTGGGAAGGAGTAGACAGCTGGTAGGGGGAGGACACCCACTGGTTTTCTCCAGTGAGTGGTGTGTGATTGTGAGGAGAGCCTGAGTGTAAGTTTCACACAGTCAAGCTTCTGATGGAGACTTGAGGACCTCTAGCACCAGGCGGCCTATTGCCCACTTGCCTCTGTTTGGCACAAATAAATAAAAAAATAAAGCCCAAACCAAGAAAGCAAACAAAAGAACCCAGATAAGAACAACAAATTCAATAAATAAATAAATAAATAAATGAACAAATCTCAAGTTCATTATTTTTATTCCTACCATCTTTGCTCCCGGAGACTAAAACTAGGACTCCTTTCAACCCTATCTTGCAAAATGTTGGTTCTTTAAGGAATACTCTTCTGGGAACATAAGACTACAGAAGTGACTTTTTCCAAGACCTGGATTTATTTTGGAATTGTTGCATTGGAAATAATATAGATGATCTAGATGAGGGAATGGGACTAGTGTCTTTTCTAAGAAGGTTTTCCCAACTGGTAGATACTGTGTCTGCAAATGTCAGCAGTTATGTAGGGAAGAAGTTTGGAGCCTTGGTTGAGGAAAAAGCTCTTTAGGGTGCAGACCAATTCCTGGTACTGGATCTCTTCAGAAGCTTCCAGATTCCTCACCTTGAATACTATATAAATCATGGAATTGTCTTCCATTTTCTCTAGGGTGTTTGTGAATACATAACAATAGCCCAGTTACGTGACTATGACCATGATTCAAGCATACTATGGTAGGAGAGACCTAGGTGAATGTGTATACAAACCTCTTGGAGGACCAATGCTTTTGCTGGAAGTAGTGGAAAGCTATAGAATTCAGAATTAGAGCGTTGTTTTCATCTTTTTAATTTCAGCTCTGTTTAACCTCATCCCTGTGGGTCTTCGAGTGGTGGCTATTCAAGGAGTTCAAACCAAATTATACTTGGCAATGAACAGCGAGGGATACCTATACACCTCGGTAAGCTTTTCACACTGTCCATGTTTTGACTGTTCTGGTTTTCATCTGATATGGAATAAAATATCCTGTATACATGTTGTCAATGCAGGATTTGTGATGTGAGGGAGAGTGTTCTTGATGAAGCTGTCTCATGTGAAAAGACAGATTAACTTCCTGTGAAAGTCATGTCCAGTAATAATCACTTGAAGCTAACATTTTTTGCTATAAAATCAGAGATCCACTAAATATTTTTGTGTACAATGACATTTGAGTTATTTAATGTAGCATGTAACAGAATGATTTGTCTTAGCATCTCACTTTGCAGCTGTGTAAATCAAAGTCATTTCTAAATTTCTGATTTATCCATGTTTACTTCTCCAGAAATTGAGGAGATCTCCTCCTCAGGTCAACTCTCTAGGATGTAAAAGTTCTAGAAGTATGTTGCTTTCCTATCATCAGTTCTATTAGGTCATGGTTGCTGTCCGCCTCTACTATAAATACTATTTTTCCATCAAGTACAGTTCAGTCTCTCCTCATAGACACAAGACTGTCTGCCTTTTTTGGTACAATTTTGTAGCAAACAGAATAAAAAATGGCATTTTTTTCCCCAAGAAATTTATGGACAGTGTAGATAGCAGTTCATTTAGGACTATGGAGTCAAAATAAGTTTTTTTAAGGCAAATTGCAGGCAACTTAAATCACAGACATTCATCAGGGGAAGGGGAAAGAGAGGGATTAAAACAGGGGCAGGAAGAGCACAAGAGACTACAGTGATGGCTCATGGTTGACTTGGTGGTGGGGATTTTATGCGGACTTAACCTGAGAGGAGAAATCAAACATTGTACATAAATGAACAATGAGGTAAAATATATAGAGAAAAATAAATAGGAAAAAAAATAAGCTTCTCAGAATTTTTTTAATATTTAAATACAGGCAGAAATAATGCTGTCCCAGGGTTAGATTATCCTTTTCAGTAGACTAGTTACAGATTCCAAGAGGCCACTTAATATATGAATATTTGTTAATCTTTGTTTTGAATTCCATGGTTTGTTTTTTAAAAGACAGATAAGATGTTAAAAATGGAGGAACTCACTTGCCTAACTTTCTACTAGATTAGCCTTGAGGAAGCTGTTGCCCTTGGAAGAATCTGTCCCTCAATCTTCAAAAGCGGTTACCATTAACCAGTCTCATTTTCTCCTGGCCCCTGCATTTATTTCAATGTCAGGGGTGTGGAAAGATTCTTGGCAGATCCAGCAGCGTGTTTTTCAGAGACCAAGATGAAAAAGAGGTGGGAGAGGAGAGAAGACCACAAAGGGCCCATTCATTTCATATTACATTCATATTATATATTTTACCTCATAGGTTATATGGGTAGTCCATTTCATAGTACAGTTAAAGAATTGTAAGCATAATCCTTAAATCCTGGTCAGTCCAAGCGTTCCTAGCAGGCTGTATCAACTAATTTGTTTAATAAATGAAGGCATTTTATTCTTTTTTGCAAGTGAAGGATTTGGATTTATTGCAAACTTCACGAAAAATCTGTCACTTGATTAATATATGGTTATTATAAATGATAGGAAAGGGGGTTTGTTTTTCAGATTTGAGCTTTAAGGTAAGATAATTTAATAAAGACAGGATTTTAATTAACCTCATTTAGTTCAACAGGTTACGTCAACAGGACCAGGTATATGCAAAGGTAGGTTTTTAGTAAAATTAACAACTGCTTGCCGAAACTACTCTGCAAGCATGGGAAGGAAATAGAATATTCTGGGCCTGCTTTGGAGAAGGTGCATACCACACGGCATAGGAAACAATTACTGGTAAAGAAAGCGCAGAGTGTCTCACTAAATTATGGTCCATTGTGATGCCTTCATGAGAAAGGCTGATTTTTTTTTTTTTTTTGTAATTTTACAGCAATTAAAAAATATTTTGGAAATAATATTTAAAATCAGAAAAAGTCAATTAAGTGAGGCGATATGGCAGGTGTCCCCCTTAGGGCATTCAGTGTTACGTGTAGGGAACTGATATTAAAAATTCATAGCCTGCCATTCATTGTTCCAACAAACCGGTAAATGCCAATGCAAGCTCATTTCTGAGGAAGGCTCCCCAGGGGAACAGCCTTGTAGATTGATGGGTTTCCTTTCCGTGATGTGCAGACCAGTAGATTGCAAAAAACGTGGGGCATTTTGCATGCATTTCCCATTATGGAAAAGGAACCTTAAGTAAGCATTTCCTATGAAAGAAAAGAAACTGCTTTTGTTAAGGAGGAAAGATGCCTCATTGATTAGCCTAGCCATCGTATAGGGAAACAAATATTCAGACTAGCCTGCTCCAGGAAAGAAATCTGAATCATCTCCAGGACATTTACTCCAGTTCTTCCCATTACTCCTTACTAACTGTGGTTTGGAATCCCTCCACATGTCCATCAGCATCCTTAGTGGGGGGCTCCATTTTGTTGCCATATTATTTCACGTGTGGTACCCAGACTCTCTTAGGATAGCATCTGTCTTAATGATTTCAGCACCTTGTATTGGTGAGACCAAAAAGCTCAATGAAATATAAGGCTTCTTCAAGAAGAGGGTAACCAAAGAGAAAGAGTCACTCCCTTTTTTACGTAAAACCGTAGTACTTCTGCTACCGAAAACCTGTACAGTTTTCTTAAAACACAAAAAGAAAATAGTATCGGACAGTGACCTAAGGATGAAGCAAGATTAAGAAGAGGAAGTAGGGGCTGTTGTGTGGGCAAGTGGAAACAAGAGCAGCTAGGAAGTTATTAAAAATAATTCTGGTGACGGATGACTAAGGTCAGCCTTTAAGCAGTCTCGGTAGTAATGGCTGCATGGAGTTGGCCTCACCTGGCATTTTTAGAGGTAGAACATTGGGATTTGGTGACTGATTGGATTTAGAGGGAAAGCGGGATGGTGATGGTTAAGAATGTATGGTCACCAGTCACAGCAGACACAGAAATAAAGTGATCTCCTGGTAGAGATGTTTTTCAAAATTTGCCCAATAGTGGATTATCAGGGGTCTTGTGGGAAAGAATTTTACCTTGGGCAATTGGGTTGATGGTGCAGCTATTAACCAAGGTGGGAAACAGAGGAAAAAGAGCAGATTTGGGTAAAAGATAGCCAAAAGCAGATTTGGGCAAAAGAAGATACCTAAGGATAGCTTGCAGTAGAGAGTCGAAAATCTGAACCTTGAGCATGAGAGAGATAGGTGGGCTAGAGGGAAAATGTGGGAGGTTTCACATGTAGGTGGTGGTTGATGCCACGAGAATAGTTGAGAGAATACGTAGCATAAGAATAAAAGAGTTTGTTGAACAATATGAGGAAATACCAGCATGGAAGTAGCAGAGGAAGAAGAGCTGATTGTGGCAGATGTCATGATATTGCAAAAGCTAAGTCGGGAGAGAGTTTCCAGAAGCGTCAGCAGTGGCAAATGCCTCTAAGAAAACAAGTAAAACAAGGAGTCGTGTCCCTTATGCAGGTCTTCAGTGATGCTGCAAGAGCACTTCCTGGAGAGGAGTCAGACAGAAGCCAGGCTGTCGTGGCTTGAGGAGTGAATGGAAAGAGGCAGTGAGTGTAGCATTTCTAAGGGAGGGGGAGACAGGGATGAGTATTTCCAGGAAGACTCGGCATTCAAGAAGGTTTGGAAGATTCTTTAGTTCAGACATTTAATAGATTAGCTGAGGGGAAGGAGTCAGTGGAAAGGGAGAGATTTAAAGACATGGCAATGGAAGCCTATTGGGTGTAGGCTGCAAAAGAGTTGGGGAGAGCGATCAAACTGAATCTCAGTGAAAGGATCCAATTCGCCTTGAAAGGAAGGGACCCCTATTTTATAATAGGAGGCAGAGAGGTGAGGGTGGCTGCCGATGTCAGTGTACTGAGTCTGCAAGTGGTGAGCAGCGAAGATGAAGGATTTCCAGCTCGATGACTGGAATTGGAGTTGATCTGTTGAAAAGGGGAGGCCGAGGAATGGTGTAAAAGGGAGAACGAGTCTGATGAGCAGGGTGGGGAATTGTCCAGCCGACCACCTGTTTCTGAAAATAAAGTCTTTTGGGCACATAGTCATGCCCATCCACTTACTGGTGTCTGTGGCTGCATTTGTGCCACCTCTGCAGTGTGGCAGACACGTGACAGAGCCCTGAAGGCCTACAAAATCGAAATTTGTTCCTATTCTGAGCCCTTCACCGGAAAAAAGTTGCCGCAGGGCAGGGACACCCCCCACACACACCTCCGCCCCCATGAAGGCAGAAGTAAGTTCACATGCACTTTGTCCTTTATCCTGAGCTTCCTTGGTGGATCTTCTTTTTCTGCTCTTGTCAACAAACTGCCTTTACATTTCTGAAGGGCTCTTTGTTGACATGAAGGAAAATGCTGATCCTTGGAAGAGTTTCCTCCTTCTCTTTCCCTTTTTTCTATCTTCTCTTGAGTTTCTGCTTCCACATGCCTCAGTTTCTTTTCTATTCAGTTTTACATGTTTGTCATGTCTTTCCCCTTTGGTCCACTAACTGAAGGAACAAATACCTTCACGTGTTCTTGCTGCAAAGAGCAGTTTACTTTTCCATGATTAATCTCAGGATTCCTGCACTGCGCCCTCCGCCCTCCTGTTTTTTTCTTGTTGCCATGGGGGACAGACTTGATGTAGGCTCAAGTGGCAGTGAGAAACCATCTGTGGCACAGAGAATCATAATTAGCCCTTATTTCATAACATATTTACTTTTGTCCATGATATAACTGAGTCTTTCTGGAACCGCGAAGAAATGATTATTTTCCTTGAGTGTGGAGGACTTTGTTCATACCTTTGGGTTTTCTTTACCAATAATAATAAGCTTCTCAAGCTTTTGTGAGTTCCTCAAAACTTAATGATATAAATATTAATAGTAGAGAGCTATTTGCAATGCATATTTCAAAACTGTGTGAAACAAACATTAACTCCAGAAAGTCAAGTCTTAAATGTGAAAATATTATTAATGTCCTAGTATCTGTCTCAGTAGAGGAATAATAAAAACTATTAGAATC